ATGGGCACTCTGGCTGGTACTTCGGCACTTTGGATCCCATCATATGGTTTCCGCGTTTCCATTCCTCCAGGTAGGTGTGAACATGTGGGACAGGACAGTTGAACTTGTTGGAAACTTGTAACATGTTCAAAACTTTCTTTGCATTTTCAACCAGATGTCAAATGTCCTCCATAAGCTTCAATGCAATTGATCGCTGACAGTACTCGATGATGTGCAAGGACTTGCTCAGTGAAAGACTCGGAATGCGGACCCCTGGGTGGCTTTTGGGCCAGTAGTGGGCGGTCCATTCCAACCATGCATCGTAAGGGCTTAGGTTGATCAGCCCAAGCACTGCTTCAGCAGGAATGTCGACTTTTGCCAGCAGGCTGGACAAAATCTGCTCCGGGACCTCGCTGCCAGCCAGGTACTGAGCGCTTTCCTGGAAAGCCGACATGGACCTGCCAGGAGATTCCGGGGCATTCCAGGGTGCAAGCGGTTTGATTTAAAGAAGCATTGACTGACCAATGACTACAGCCCTAGTATAGCTGATTACTTTGTTCAAAGAAACACAAGTTTCTGGGCCTGGTGTCAGCAGATGATGGAACCATGTCCTTGCTAGCTGCCGGCACAATGTAAGAACTCTCTGGGAGCCAGCTGATGTTCGTGCGAGTGCACCTGTCAGGGCCAGTGTTTCCTGGATTATGGTAAGTTTGCCAGCACATGTTGCATATCTTTCCTCCTAATCTAAGAAATTTGGCTTTGTATTGAATCAAACCACCACACCTGTCCGCCAAAAGCTGAGAAGAGGCAAAGATATTGTCTGCAACAGTACCTTCTTGCATACAGATCCACGCAGCAAATTGTAGAGGGACATGCTTCTGACTTGGGGCTTCTTTCATCCGGATCATGATAAGCTCTGACTGGATCTTCACAGCATCAAGTTTATCTTCCACTCGCCTAGTCAGGGAAGTGAGACATTGAACCAGTGAAGAATACCTGCGTATCAAAACGAGAAAAGATAAACATGGGGGTTGGGATATGTTTATACCATTTTATACTTGTTGTTCTTTGTAGTTTGAAGAAACCCTGGCCTGATCTCTCCACGTACACCATTCTGGGTGCGCTCTGAAACGAGAAAAGGACTGATAACGACTGCCACACTGTGTTGTGGTTTCCGGGAAAGAATGGATGATAGGAGGTCGCAGGTGTCATTCAGATCACATCCACTCAATTTCCCATACTTGGTAAAGTCGAGCCACACAATGTTGGCAGCCCACTCGTTGTGCTCGGCCAAATCGTTGATGAACTGCGGCACTTGACCAAAAACATATGGAACCCAAGTCTCAAGTGTACCATGCCTAGGAGTAAGAACTTGAAACAGCAAATCCAATGAAAGGGGTGTTATCATTTAAGGATTTTTGATAACTTCTAGCCTTTTCAGCTGCCGCTTCTTGTTCGTTGTTTCTGCCCCCAACAAGACGGATGTTCAGGTCCATGAATTTTGAGATGGTGGTGGCCCCCCACACGGTTTTGATGCTTGAGATGCAACACGCGCTGGAGGCGATTGCTGCGGCTGTTCTTCGTCTCCTCCTGGTACAGGCACCCCAACTGCGCTACGTCCCGGGTCAATTTCAAGCAGTCTTGGTCAAAGCTCATCTTGTGAGAACCTTTGGTCAGCACATCCAGCTTCTCATCCACGGTCGCAAATTGTTGGGAGGCAGGCTGAGCTTTGACATGATCTCTCCTCACTTGTGTGCTCTAAAATCTTTGAGGGTTCTAGACTCTAGACCAGTCTTGATTGATTTCACTTGTTTGGGGACTCGTTCACTCCAACATGAACATGATGATCATGAAAAAA